AAGATAAAATGCTGCTCATATAATAGGTTTTCAAAAGCTGATAAGGATAAGATGGTTCTTACAGAAAACCTATTATGAACATAATGCTTATTAAAATATACTTTTAAAAATGGAGAGATAGCTCTTCAGTACAAATGTTCTACTTGAATTACAGTGATAAAGACAAACATAGTCCTTCTTGCTTTTCGAGATCTTAGGTCGGATTCAGGTTCCCTCGTTATTGTCAGTGAAAGAAGAAGAAATGTGTGAGGTTTTGTGGTACTTTAACAAATCATACCAACTGAACATTAAATGACTTTACCAGACTGGTCTGAAGCTAAAATGTTTACCGGAGCAGAAGATCAGCTGGGGGGAAATAACCATTAACTTGCCGAAAGAGGCTACAACAAAGCAGATGGTGAGCACCTCTGGGAAACAGCTGCAGAATGGATCAGCACACCCATTTAAAGAATCAGAAAGGAGACTGTCATCTGCTAATGATATCTGCCACCCTTCACACATTTTGCTGTGTGGCAGGGTTTCCACTATATGCCTATCTTTGAATGAGATGACAAGCTGTCATGTAATTGCAGTTTTACTGACAGTTTTCCCAATTACACACATGCTCAGAAATGAGTCACGGTACTAGCAAACACAGCAGTAAAAGCAAATATTAGCACCTTCAGAGTGTGAATTAGATTTTAAAAAGGCATTTGATTGATGTCCTTTTGAAATCAAACTTGTTTCTCATACCAACATCCATCCAGTGCATCATTCATTCATCATTACCATTTATTACATCTATCCAGAATGTTATGATTAGTAAAAATCATGAGAAAATGTTCATCAGAGATGGAAGCCGAGGGCAATCTCTAATCGACAACTCATAATCTACAGTGTTTATCCACCACTAAATATCGTTGGCTCTACTTTTAGTTGGCAGCTTAAAGTATTTAACCCATGAGGGTTCAGACCAATTAAACTGCCTAACACTGATTTCAGCAATGCCAAGCCAGCATAGTAACAGCATAGGTCTAGTTCAAATCCAGAAAAATACATCACGTGAGTATTAATGATTTGGTTTTGAACTTTGAAAGTCACTTGTCTTGCCTTTGCAAGACAGCTGCGAAGGTTCCTACACACTTTGCAAATGCACCGAGTAACTCAGCTTCTCTGACTTCAGTGTGAAACTTAAAAACAAGAGCATGAACTCAGGGTGAGGGGACGTGTCAGAATGAGTGGGATGCTCAAGGCCTGGGGCTCTTGCATGAACAACCACTTTTCTTCTACTTTTCTTCGTCTAAAGGTTTATTTTTTTGTTTTGTTTTTAACTTTTCTGTGCTATTGGAAACCGGCCACTTCGCTGAATGCGAGACGGGTTGTCCAGCCAGCAGTAAACTGTAATGTCAGAACAAGGATCCAGCAAAATGTTTTCCAGTGAGCATTAAAAGGCTAGAACGCTCCGAGCCTTTTATTTCTGGGTCGCTTCCTCTTTTATTGTGCTATTCATGTGCACCACAGAATGAAACAAGTGAAATTTATAAAAAATACTTTTTCTTTCCACTGAACAAGAGTGGAGTCGGTTGAGTTAAAAAGGAAATCCTTGTCAGAGCCTCTTGCTGAAATACACACCTAATCGAGAGGGACAGACCTGGTAGTAGAAACTGTACTGTAGGTGAGATGTGTCAATTTATAAATGCAACTGCTACACAAATGACTAATGTAATCATCTGACATAGCTCGTCTGTGATCCTGAATTATCTTTTCTCCAGCTGTTGTCACAGCAGCTCCCACTTCTTGGTGAACTACACAAAGATGTTCTACAGCTGCAGCTCCTGGTCCCTGTGTTAGCGTTACATAAGGCTGGAGTAAAATATTCATCAAGCTGCTTTGGACCACATCTGTATGCAGCTGAGTGCTGAGGAAACGCTTTCCTGTAAACCTGCTAACTACACTAGGGTGGCAGTCGCTGCTGGCTTTAGAGTGGTTTGTGTGCAAATGTGTTTGATTGCTTTGGTGTGTGCTTGTGTGTGAAGTGTTTACATGATATGCATGTTTGAGTGGTGCAATTTTGCACATGGTGCGAGTGGTTGTATAAGCATACAGGAATGCACGTCTATGTCTTCATTAGTATGCTGAGTTAGTGCTTGCGTGTATGCATCGCTTCCTTTTAAAGCACACATTAGCGAACCTCTAGCCGCAGTGCTAGAAGACATCTTCTCTCTGCTTGCTAGAGTAAATGCTGCAAATGATGGCTTGCTGGTGCAGGGCGTGTTTATTAGACAGCAGTAAAGTTAAAACCTTCCAGGGCCATCAGCAGGTCCATCAGGACCAGGAGAACCATCTGGCATCTTGCTGAATCGTGGACCTCTGGGAAGTCATAATCCTAAACCCCACCTAAATGACCACACACACCACTCTTGAGGTTTACCGTTTAATCTACACAAGTGACCAGACTGTTTTACACCATGTGGGGAGCTTACTCCGTTTCTTAAATTGTTGTAATGACTTAGAGCGGGTGCTGACTGACTGGCAACTGCTTTGCAAAGTCTTTGACTTCCAATACTGCAACTCACAAGCTCAAGTGACACCAAGTGAAGATGAACTGACAAAATCCTGCCATGGTGATCTACTGAAGCTGTCATCTGCCTGGAGCTGCTTTCTTAACCTCCAGCTGTCTGAATATAAAAAGACAGAAGAGGGGAATGCTAATATATACATTGAGGATAAAGAGAAAGAAGATCAGAGAAATTCAAATTAAATATGCAATGTGCAGATTACGTGCAGTAATGAGAAGGGAGTGTGCACTGTGCTAATGGCGAAGAATGTCAGGCTTCTATGTGAGAATGGGATCAAGAACACACTGCTGGGGATGCTCATTACCTCTGTGAGCACGCACGTACGCATATTTTATGTGTGGGAACCAGAAGTAAACACAGAATTCATGCAGAGGACCTTGCTCAACTGCAGGTGCATCAAATGCACACACTTGCATAAAAGCATTCACATATAAGGTGAAAAAAGATGCATAAATACGCTGGAACATACAAGAGATGCACACAACTCTGTGTGTGTTCTGTCACACTGGGTTCAATCGGATTAACGCTGGGGGTCTTGACAAGCAGCATGCATGATAACACTGAAATTAGGGAGCTTATCAAATCATACAGAGACTGCAGGCTATCGCTGTGGAGTATTACATTAATAAATACAAAGAAAATATAAAAACTAAGTAAAAGCCTCATATTCACCTAACTAAAATCCAGGGCTGCAACCAAAGCAGGCATCTAAATCAAATCACCAATTTGGGCTGATATTTTATCTTATTTAGTGAGATGGTTCCTACTTTATGCTGTCTACAATTATGACTCATTCTCTCTGCCCAATTACACTAGAGTGCAGCGTACCAACAGATCAGACACCCCACATTAAACTTCTAGAACAGCAAAGCCAACTGTAACTTCACTCACATTCTATTTGCTTCATTCACATCAAACACAACCATCAATTGTTATGTGAAAATACCAAATTTCCAGGAACACGGGTTTAAAGAAAGAAAAAAAAAACCATCATGTTGCTCCACCTTTTTATCACTAATGATTAGTTTCATGTCTGATCAATTTGTATCTTCTAGTCTATAAAATAATTTAACACAAAGAGTTTATTTATGACAAAATAAACTCACACTTGACCAGATGTGACTAGGGAATTTGTGCTTGAAAAAAAAATGACTTTAGCAATTTACTGATTATTATAGTAGTAAATGATTCTTTTCCTACTGATCAAATAATCAATAGACTAATTGCTTCACCATCGCCCTTCTCTGTTTTCATTTGATCTTTACTGGTTCAAAGTTTCAAAACTTTGTAGCCTACTATGCTGTTATCTGTGGTTGCTCTGTGTACAATGTATAAAGCAAGTAAAATAATAATAATCAGGCGGATGTTTTGACAAGGTACAAATCTGCAAGATGCTGGGCTGAGGATTCAAGTCATCTGGGTTTAGAGGGCACAACTACAAGACAGGAGTCTGCAAGGTTAGAGCCCAGTTTGATGCAG